ATTAGATATTAATAATTCACCCTTATTAAATCTCTTTCCTAGTTTTCTGTGAGATAATCCCGGTAATGTGCTACCTTATTGTTATCTGATTGATATTATAATTACCTAAGTACCCTAATTTACTTTAAATAGTTATTTTGTAATGTTATTGATGTTTTTCTTAAGTACTTTGTTTTGTTAAATTATTTCGTATATATATTGGATACCGAATTTAAAATAGTCACATTTGAAAAAGAAGTTGTACTTCGAAACATATGTCATGTTAGTGTTTTTTAAAAATTTTTATATTTTAAAATAAAAGTGTGAAAATCTACCAAATTTGGTTTTACTCTTTCAAGATGTCCAAAACCGTTACTTTGCGGACCCATCTTTATGAAGAATTTTGTTATTTTTGTCCATACTGTTACCTCTATAAATATTTTACAGTCTATTTTAACACCCTGTAGTTATAACCAGTTTTCCTAAATTAAAATATTACAAATTCTCATCTTTTTTAAAATAATTCCAAATATACGATTGTTGTCATTTTACCATTTTATATTTTTAATGAATCTCCTAGCATAGAAAAATAAAGACATCGAAATCAGCCATGGAAATAAAAATTTTGTAGGTTATATTTTTCTTCTTTTTTCATTATGCCTCGACCTTCGATATCGTGACGATAGTTAAAATTATTATCGATAGTGAATTTGAAAATAAAACTATCAATAGTGCAACCAATATTTGGCCACCTCTAGTGGGGATGGTATATGTGAACACGCGTTTCATGAATGAACAAGCAAATGGGTTTGGTTTCGTACAAACAAAACCGTTAATTTCAGTTCTCAAATACAGTTGACGAATTCATTTTTCAAGAATGCGATGCGATAATAGTGACCCTATTCTATTGAAAGAGTGTAATTCACTGATTTTGAATTAGTTCTTGAAAGAACCAAAAGAAGCCTAATACAACTGTGATTTTTGCTTTACAACGTTGCCATACTGCCACCTTCAGCTACAATTATTATTACTTACACCCACAAAATACGTTAAATATTATTAAGAATGCGAATATTCTTCCTTGATGAAATTTTGAAATTCTATTGTCTATTTTAGAGCCTTATGTTAAGTAAATTTCGAATTATAACCGTAAATAATTTTTCTAACAAGACAACTACATGAATAATACCGAGAATGCTTGCAATTTGGTTTTTATAAATGAAATTGATAGTTATTTGTAGTTGACCTCATCCAATTTTTATTTTTTTCTTAACACATTTTCTAAAATTTCCTCATGTATGTGTAGGATTTGTTTTTATTTTCAGTATGATTATCTATTACTGTAAGTTTAATTTGCTATTGTTTTTTTTTCTCCGTTTGACAACACTTCATTTGCATAGAACTAAAAATATAAAATTATGTTTTTAAAAATATATTATGTTGTTTTAGCATTTTCAGGTTCTTTAACTTTTTACTCAACCAACATATTTATTTTGTCGAATTATATATGGCGGTAGATTTAATTTTATCTCCATAGTTTTCTTCATAATAAAGAAGCTGAAGCAAATCCGCAGTCTTTTGTCAATTCCAAGCTTTATATGAGTGATCTCGAATCCACACATTCTATTAATATTACCCTCTTTTTTGCACAAAAAACCGCTTACCGTGAAATTAGTTTTGCGCATTATGGCTTCTCGCGAAAGTTGTGATAACTAGATGCACAAGAACGGAATTACTCTTTTATAGAGCTTATAAAGAATGTCCCAGATTTTTTTGAAGCAGCAAATGTAGTGAAAATTTCATTATCCACCACTTAAAATGCAAAACTTCTGTTTTGGGTTAGTGATTTGAAGAGATTTGAAGATTTATTGTAGATTATTTAATTAAAATGTCGGAAATTATTAGTATGACTTATTTATATTTATTTATATATGGATACAAAATTATACAGGACGAATAATTATTCCTATGATATTATCAATGATTTCTTGCACTGATGGTGCTAAGAATTTAAGCAGTTAATAAAACAAGAAATGTGAACCATTTCTAATTTAAAGCTGAGTATCATTAATACAAATAAATTATTTTTGAGAGAAAGCTATATTTTTTTTATATAAAAATGTAGGTAAAAAACGTATGCGTTGAAACACACCGAACGCCATCATTCACGCTTCAAATTTGTTTTGTGGCTATTTGTTCTAAAACATAGAGGGCTCCAGCATCGGTCGGGAATGCTTATGCACAAACGTTGGATAAATAGAGTTTACAATCGTTTGAAGTATGTTAAAGGGAACACGGCTTCGAATGTTCTGGTTTGACCTCGTCAGAGCTGAGGTCGCTCCGATGTCAAAGGATTAATTGGATAGATGTTCTGTAGTATAAATACGCGGTGGTTCTTTTTGCTAGTTCGAAAACACATTTGTTTTTCTAAGCCGTGTAGTGGAAAGGGCAAAATCAACAAGAGCAACTAACATTTCATGTTGAAAAATTTTCTCTCCCAGCCACTTTAATGAAAACTAACTTTCTAGGTACCTACTCAAAATATTGAACATAGAGTTTAATTTTACAATATGCAATAAACATTAAAACTATATATTTAACGCTAAAGGAAAACGAGATTAAAGACCCCTCACTTTCCTTGTGGAGGAATAATACTCGGTTTTTATTACAATATGTTGTAGAACCTACTAGACTTTCTAAATAAAAGCACCTCGGGCCCAACTCCATGCTATGGTTAGGTTTTGATATACAGGGTGCTGAAATTTTAAATTTGTAACTTTTGCAGTTTAGCAAATTATTTTTAATCACGGGATGACTCACAATTTACTAAAAATTTTATTTGTATTTTAACTTTATTATGGGAATATTCTTCAGATAGTGATAGCTTAAGGTGCTCTACTTTTGCATACAAACCTTAATTTTGAGTGGAATGAAAGGAAATTAACGAATGCCTCCTGGAGATATATGGAAAAATTCGATTTTCCTTAATATAAATTAAAAGGTATTTATTGCCCATATTTTCACTCAAGCCATGTTCATTAAATGAATAACTAATAGAACTAGACTTCAGAAAACCAAAGACTTTGATGTTGCAAGTGGCTAAAGGATCCAAATAAGAGCGTAATTTTGTAAGGAAACCGATTGTATTTTGGGATCAGAAATCATTTCTGTTAAGGAAAATCGAATTTTTCAAGTGTTATCACCAAGAACCACTTGTAAATTTCCTTTCATTTTACTCAACAAGGCTTTGGGGTTTGTATGCGAAAATAGGGCTCCTGAATCTGTCACTATCTGACGGTCTATTAGTAAAATGTGTAGTTGTGGTCTTATTTTATTAGTTGGAATATGCCTCGAAAGTTTTTTTAAGATCTTGAACCATCCGCATTATTTGTACAATGGCTTCAAAAATATTACTAAATCATTTTACTGACATAGAGAAGTTTTAAATTGAAACATTTTAAATTTGTTTTTTTTTATATATATACAGAGTTGATCAGAGAGTGAGATTAATTAAATTTACTGTGGCCGCCTACTGAGGCCACCTACCTGAGTGTTGCATTTATACCCCACTTTTTAATACTTTTCTCAACGTTGCAGATGACTCTTAATCGGAACAGACCACCAAAAAAAATCAGCTATACGTCTTTACATATATGCGCCGGCGCGATAACCTCTAGAGGTTGTTTTGCAGTGTTTTTTTTTTTCTTTAAACGCCCATACCTGAAGATTTTTCATATTAGGGCTACGATATATGACTCCGTCTATGCTAAGAAAACCTTACCTATTAAATGATCCAATAACATTCTTATTACCAATAATTTGGCACGCTACATATTTCATGTTCCTAAATGTCAATGTTCAAATTATTCTCGAAAATATCAAAAAACTACAAAAAGCACAATAAATCTTAAGCTGTCACTTGACGCCGTCAACAAAATGTCTTAGGTTGCCAAACGTGAAGATTATGAATCATAATCTTCAATTTCCACATACGATACACGTGTAAAAGACAATAATTAAAAATCTTAAGTGATTGAAATGAATAAACAACTCATACTAAAGCTTTTTAGCTTTTTTTTATATTTCTGTATAAATAACGCAATAAAATCCATATGAAACTTTTGACAGAGATATTTTATAATTTATAAAAAACAAGTATCATAACAACAACGATAAAACAAAACATACATAGTTTGTGGGTTCGGTTCCATGTTATATGTCAAGTTTGACAACTCACACTCTTTGACTGTTTATAACCAGACAGGGAAAGTAACTTGAACACGTTAAATGATTAATTCCCTGGTACAAATCTCAGTCTAGTTATATTCCTTCAAAGACATACACAACACTTTTAATACTTCATTTTTTTTATACATTGTATTTAAAGATAAAAATTTAATGCAGGTTATTTGAAAGAAGAAATCTGACAACATAGGACCAGCGTACTGTCAGAAAGATGTTGCGGACAAATTAATTGCAAACAAAATAATAAAATCCGTACTTTTGTTGCATGAGCTTTACACGCAACGAGTTGCATACAAAAATTGTACAATTGTACAGTTAAGCTAAGTACCTATAAAAATAACAATTGTTAGAAAAATGAATTATTAAAATTTAAAAAAAACAAGTAGTAGAAATTAAACAAATAAATGAATATATCAAATGAGTAATTAATTAAAATATTAAAGTATAGAGAAATGCACAAACTACATGCTAAAAGTTATATAAAATATAAATAATAAAAAAAACACCTACTTCCCAAAAGATGAAAAGAAAAATTCAAAATAAAAATAAAAACTACCAATAAGCAGGATATCCCTAAACATACAAATTTCTTTATTTGGTGTCATCAACATCAACTACTTAGGTTACTAGCTTAAATATTGCCTATAACTCCTTCAATGTTAATTTTTTTCAAAACTGTATAAAGCACTTTCGACTTAAAATTTTCCAACTAATATATTCATGAGCTATGGCCATCGAGTCACGTGATACCCTGTATAACGTGGTCCTTGAGCGGGTTATGGAAGACAGTGATCTTGTTCCTTTATCCTTTTCTGCATTATTTTACAAATATCTTTATCCTTCATTAGATCTTCCGGACAGTTAATTATAAACACTCTGGCAAGACCCAAATCACTAAGATATCCCGCTGGTTTACATTCTGTACATTTTTGAATTGATATGTCGTTGTTTTCTGTAGCTATTTTGATACGTTCTATAATATCTTTAATAACTTTGTTTTGAAAATATTCAGGATATTTCACTGCAGAGAGTTTTTCTTTAAGAAATTTAATATATTGATCAGCTATTAGGTATCCTTCTCTGTCAATCTATAAAAAAAATAAAAATATTAATATTATTAGGTATAGTTAAACATTTTTAGGATGTTTCTGATGTTCCTTCATAAAGGATATAAATCTTTCTACTTTTTTACCAACTGTAAAGCACAACCAGAATTACTGGAAATTTTGATCAAAAATTAAAATATAAAACTTTTACTGCTCTCGAACGAAAGAGAACGTATTGGTGTTAATATCAAAGTATATTAACCGTTGAGTAGCGACATAAAGCGTCGGTGCCTTTGATCTTGGGTGGAGCAAATTTTCTTTCTCTCTCTTTTGACGTTATTGACGAAACGACACAGTAAAACACTGCTCGAATTATGAACTGGTCTTGAATGTGATGTTTACACTGCTCGACGTAATTTGAAGTAAAACTCTTTTGTAGTTTACATTTATAATAAAGGTTTGGTCATTAGGCAGTTTTATATTTATGAGTATTTAACTTATGTAGTAAATATAAAAATATATATCACTTATAGCACATGCATTTCCTGGCATAACGAAAAGCCCACAAAACCCCAAAAAATCTTAACAAAAACACAATAAAAGAGCACTCATAAATCCACAACAACGAATTCCTATATCAGCTGTCGGACTAAAGTGAAAGGGGTTGTTTACATCTTTAGAAGACGTCTCGCCTCTCTATTTCGCGTCGGCGCACTAGAATTCGGTTTCCCAGCTGTCGCTACTCAACGGTTAATATACTTTGTTAATATCGTTACTTTATAAACCCTGTATTTAATAAATGTTTCTTCACCTATACCCTTTAAAAGATTTACTCTTTCCTTTATAAAAAAAGCATAAAAAAGAGTACTTCTATTTTTTTTTTTTAATTTCGTTTATTAACGACGAGACCTGGGATCATTATTTATTTGGAATGTCTTTGTGCTTTTTGGTCCGTAATTCTAATAAAAATTTTATGATGTATGACAATTGTGTTAAAAATAGAAATATAAATTTAGATATTTTACCGTTTTTGTTTTTATAAATACTCTTCTGGAAGATATTCACGACAGTAATATAAGTAAAATTAAAAAGACATTTTAACTCATACAGAATGATTTAAAAAATAAAGGCTAATCGTTACCCATTTCTAGTCCTGATTTTCAACCGGGAATTCTACGCCTTATAACACAAAACAATTACTTTTAGGGAATTAAATTATACTGTAAATATGCTAAAGCTCTTTGGCCGATTTTATCCAATTTGAGCTCTTTAGGCAGCAGCAGTCAGTTTGAGTAGAATTTATATTCTAATTTGAAGATTTTTTTTAGGTTAATAGTGACTTTTTCATAAGTTTTGTTTGCATTTTCTAGGACATTTTATTTTCCTAATACCCTGCTATAAGATGTATCCTCCTTTTCAGGGTGGTTTGCCCTGATTACAATAAGTGTGTGGCAGGTTGTGTTTCCAAAAAATATCGTTAACCTCATAAATGGACAAGTCCATAGTATAAGGTTATAATTATATGATTGGGAAGGGTTTTATCTTATGCTTAGGGGGACTGACTCCAGCAGATCCTGGAGTTCAACAGTGAGGGGTAGGTCTTGGGAGTCGGAAAGTACCTAGCCTTAGATTTGGTTGCGGCATTTTTTTTTTCGCTTTTCGAAATAGTGGGAGGTGGCGTGGGCCCCATGGAGTTTGTAGTGTGTCTTGGGAGTGTATGTTGGTGTATTTTAGCGTGCGAGAGACGTATTATTTCCTGAGGGTTTGAAAACATGTGAGGATGGGGGTGTTGGGGAGATTTAGTTGGTTAGAATTGTTGGCTACCGAGAGTAGAGCTGTATTGTCGGCGTATAGGAGGCACTTGGACGATGGGTGGTTTGGAGGAAGAAGTCGTATGTGTGTGTATGAGTTAAAGGAGAGGGGCCAGGATGGAGTCTTGTGAGCCACCAGCAAGTGAAGTAAATGTGTCTGACAGGGAGCTTCCACTTTGACGGCGATTTTCTGTCAGTGAGGTAGGAGTGTATGAGTTTGGAGATTTCGGGAGAGGGAGACATATGTTCATAAGCGTTTTGACTAGTCCGGCGTACCACACTTGGTCGAAGGCTTTTTGAACGTCTAATAGAACGGCTGATGAGATTTGCTGGAAATGTATTGCAGTGACCGCAGTAATGTTAAGTGAGGAGATTGCGTCCTGTGTAGAGTGGTAAGGTTTGAAACCATGTTGGGATTGAGGAATGACGTTTCTTTCTTTACAAAATTCTCGTTTTTGTTTTTTGAGCAGAAGCTCGGAGAATTTCTGTAAAACTGAGAGATGGACCTGTATGAATTTACGGATTTGGGTTCCTTGCCTCGTTTGAGGATCAAAATGGTATTAGCGGATTTCCAGGTAAGTGGAAAATAGGAAACGGAGAGACAGGAGTTTAGGAGAAGGGTGAGGATGGGAAAGAGGGTTTCAGGAAGATGCTTCAGCGTTCTATACATGAAATCAGGCCCGGGGGTCGTGTTTTTGCCTACTTGACAGGCGATATTGGATGTCTTGGAGGGTAAATGGGGTAGTGAGGGGTTTTTCGACATTCAAAGGTGGGACTGGGGAGGCAAGTGTCTGCAGGACGTTTAGTTCGGTTTCGTGTTTTAATTAGTCGTCTGAAGATAATTGACTATTTGAAATATACTAGCACATGGAAGTGTCTTGCCATCCTCATTCAGATGACCAAATCAAAGTTAGTTTGTTAAATAGTTATATCTTTTAATTTATTATTTAATACTTACATATTTAAGAGTTTGGCCAATACATTGGTAAATACACTGCAAAAAAATAGAATAATTTATAAATATTAACAAAACTCAAACATAACTTAGGAAGACATTATAAATATTCATACCGGTTAAAACAAATGCTATTCAGAGATTTAAACGCTATAAGTTGTCACTTTATAAAATTCTTTATGTAAGTTTAATAAATTCATTCAGGGGAAGTCAATTTTTGGACAAAAATTAAGTAATCAGTACAAAATTTAGTTCTGCACCTCTATTTTATGATTCCATACTAAAACTAAGAAATAAAGTTGTCAATCACGAGTAACGATGGCTTAGACATCCGGTATACTAGGAAAAAATGATGAATGTTCACGCGTCAGGGGGAGAAACGCTGAAGATACCATTAAGAAACGCACCACAAGCGATCGTTGTAACTAAATATTTGAATGATAACGAGGTGAAAACTAATATTGAATATCTTTATTTATTATTGACAACATCAAAATCTAATCTAGTAACTATACAAGTAAATCATATAGTATTTGATCAATGGTTCTGTTGAATTCAGAAGGTGCAGTTTTGATACCAAGGGAAAGAGGGTGCATTCGATATGTTCCTCGATAAGTTGAAATAGTTTGAATATACTTGTAGATGGTAGATTTGCTTTGAATAAATCAAGTCGACAGAAATATGTTGAACCTTTTAAACTGTTTAGTATATCTTCAATACGTCTGTCATTAATTCGAATTTTATAGTCTACACATAGACGCTCTCTACCAACTAAGGGTGATCCCCAATCGCTATTGTCAACTTTAGATATAATACCTGCAGCTTCTAGGATATCCAGTTCCTTTTCCACCTTGTCTCGGAACGCGTTAGGGATATCTCTATGCTTTTGGACGTAATTTTAATGAGACTTTAAACTTTGGTACCAATCCAATTTATTCTGGTCTGTTTTACATTCTTTTACCATATGATTGTCTTTACCACATCTAATACAACAGTGATCGATTTCTAAATTTTTGAAATCAATCCTTGACTTTGACTTGGATCGATTTTTCTCATATGATTTCGTACGGTTTTAATTTTCGTGAATTTTTTCTGGATGAATAATTTATTTTATTAACGTTAATAAAAACATTGTGGGATGATAAAGCTTGTCTGTATATTTTTGAAGTAATACATAGATATTATTAGCATTTTTACCAATTAATAATTTATTAAATAATCTCTTACACGAATTTTGTTGTGAAATTCCTCAGTTGTGACTACGTCTTTTCCAGTAACTTGTCTATAGCAATGAGTTAATGTTTTCGTGTCATCACTTAACCGGTTCTTGAAATATTCTTCCCCGCAACAATGTTGATAATTTATTACTTTAGTACATTTGCTACAAGAGTGTACATCTTCCTTCTGATCTATTGTTTGATCTGGAAATAGTAAAGAATAAGGTTATATGTGTCTTAAATGCAGTATAATCTATAATAAAAGTGAAATAAAGTCCTATTTTTAAATTTAGTTTTATTATAAAATGGATATTAGTTTTGATAGACTAAAATAGTTGAAAATCCCAACGACGCGTTAGAAAACGAAGTATAGCTTTTTGCAGAGTATTGAAATTATAATCAATTACAAAACTTAGAAAGTATTGTCCATTTAATACTTTAATACACGTAACAAAGATACGCATAAATATGCAAAGTAGATGCAGTTTAATTAAATTTAATGACCTAAAAAATAATTTTCAACTCTCCCAACTAGAGAATTTCTGAACGTTTTAGTCCCGATATTAATGGGACAGTCCCGATATCGGTGTATCCCGTTTTCGAATTCCCATGTGTGGACGTAAAATGTCCCGATTTCATATAGGTAAAATATTTATTCAAAAATTGATAATATTATAACATTCTTTTAAAGGTTAAAAAAAAAAAAAAATTATAATTGATCCAAATCACTTCATTAATGAAATTTACTGGCTCTAGTCTCATTTTCACTCGGTATTTAAGTGCTTTTTATTATACCCTTCTAAAGAATAACAAAAAATAAGCCGAAACATTTAAACACAAAACTGTTGACCTTCAAACATCTAAACAAGTACAAATTTTATCGCTGCATCAATTTTCATAATAAAATATTGGAAACCCCAGTTCGTTATTACATTTTCCGTAAATTAATTAAAACTGTAAAAATATTCTTACATGTGTTATTTTTTAACATAATCTGGAAAACCAATGTGGAATTCTCAAGTCGTAACTAATTTCAAAAATGATAGATAAGTATGCGCAAAAATTAATGTGGTAGATTTTTTAAGTAAACAGCAAATTAGTATTATCAGTTTATTATTTTATTTTGATATACCTTATTTATACAGAGAAATATTTTAAAGATATCAAAAACAGTTTATATAATATTAAAAACCAGAATACCTTAAGTAAGTAAACTTAAAAGAATTTAAGCCAAAATAAATAAACTGTAGTTAATGCAAAAATTATCAATCAACAGGATTTAGGTTTTGAAGAATGATAATTTTAAATTCATTTAGTCGCTTTTAGTTACCATGAAAATGAATTGGTCATTCTTTGACTGGAACTAATTTACTTAATTTTGCCCATAGCTCAATTGGGGGCCAGTGCAGGACAGTCTTTAATGTAAATTAGAAATAGTAAGCAACAATATAAAATCTGAATCCATGTCTATTTAATTTGTTAAATGTTTATAAATAAAGTACCTATTTTAAGATTTAAACAAAATTAGTACCAAGGTACTGAAGTGATACTTGAGTCTTGCGCTTTATAAGCCATTTTATGTATCTACTTCAGGAAAAGAAAAAAAAAATAATGAATATGATAGAAAACCACTTAACGGTAATCTAATAACGAAGCAATGATGACATCAGTGCAAGGTTGTTATACTCGTATATTGTACTGTTCACTGTATTTTTGGTTGTATGGTAAAAGTATATTGTATTTTTATTCTCTAGGGACAGACAATTGTTTGTATCAAAATAATACAACATAATAAAAGGTATATTCTCATTATGGGTCAAGCCACGATCAAGTCACGGTCTGACCAAAAATTATGTTTCATAATTTTAAATGAGATTTCTTTTAAACCGTTCACACATGCCGGAAATCGGACAAGCAAGCCACGGTCAAGTCATAAGCCGATAATTTCCAATATTTGACTGAACCGTGACTATCCGTTGATGCGCAGACCATCTAGCGTGGATTCTCAACGACCAACCAGTTAGAGCGGACTGTCGGCTGTCTGTAGTATAAAGAGTGATTAGATTTTCTTTAAAATGGCTGTGTTAAAATTTTTTTTATATGAAAACGATCTTAAACATACTGAAGATTTTTGAGCTGGGGAAATCGTTTCCCTAAATGTGGTAACATTTTTTTGAAGTTCATCTTTAATTGTCAAAAATATGTTTCGAAATTCTTCAATTTTTATTCTATAATAAACAAAAAAAAATTGTTTCATCATTCATAAGTATTTCATGCAACTTAAAAAAATCCCCTTCGATTTTTCTTTTTTTGCATTGGATGTATCTAAAGTCTTTATTTATTTTATTTTCCATATTTTTTACTGTTCTTCTTCCGCATTCAAAATAAATGCAATTTTAAATATTGAAGATGAAAACATTTTTTAAGAATGCTACAAGCCAAACTACTCTGAAAAACACTCATGCACGATTGCCTGCTGTACGCTGGAAAAACTGGTCGAATATGACGATGCCATGACCCGATATTGTGTATGCTTTCAAAAAGATTTGATTGATACCGGGCCATGAATTGACCGTGCCTTGTCCGGCTAATGTGGATAGACCTTAACCCTACACTGCCTAATGTATCAAATTTGATACAACCATATTTTTACCGGGATATTCGTCACACATGTTATTTTTGGCTGTACTGCGCACCGTATCAGTTTAGCTACAACCTTACTGAATAAGTCTATACAGTCGAAAATTCAGTATGCGGCGATTTGTACCCGCTATTTTGTTAAGTTGTGTTCGGTTGCACGTGGGTACATTGCCTATAAAACTCAATATTTCTTAGTTTATCTATTTTAGAATTATTTTTGCTGGCTCTCTCTATTATAAAGGTAAGTACTTTTTGGTTTCTTCTATTTATTTATAAGTTTCGTTGTTGTAAAGCAGTAAATTCTGTAATAAAATTAGGTCGTATCATATTGGCTACATCGTGTAAACTCCAGTAAAAATTTCATTATATTTGCTGCGAGGCTTTAGTTCAATTTCAAAGATTTTTTTTACTTTTTAGATGGTAAATCGACTAAAATGGACAAGACCACTTACTGAAAAGGAGTTTGAGGATGCTGTAGCCCGTTGTGTAGCCCACTTATCCGATAGTGAGGATGATTTTGAGGTAAATTCAGATGATGATCTGGATGACTTTGCTCCTGATCAAATTGAACCTGTAGAACTACCACTGCAGTTTGAAAATGACACCATAATTTTTCCCGATGGAGATATTAAGCAGGAAAACCAAGTTCAACAGAGTGCAACCACGTCAAATCAAACTCCAGAGGAACCACAACAGGAGGCAGGTAATTTGAAAAAGAAAATGTCCAGTCTTCTATGGCGTAAACAAAATCTTGTGTTGAGTAAAGAGACTTTATTATTTCGGGGAAACTCAACATTGCCTTCATCAATAAAGGAGCTTGAAACACCATTTCAGTTCTTCAAATATTTTTTGATGACAATTTATTTCAAAAAATTGCCGACGAATCAAACCTTTACTCTGTCAAAAAAGATCCCAATAAAGCAGCCACATTATCTGCAGCTGATATAAAACAGTTTCTTGGGATCTGCATATACATATCAGTTGTTCACATGCCCAACGTACGAAGCTACTGGTCAACAAAACTAGGCTTTCCCCAAATCAAAGAGACTGTGAGTCAAAATCGCATTGAATTTATTCGAAAACATCTGCACTTCAACGATAATGACAAGATATTGGCCAGAGAAAGTCCAGACCATGATAAGTTGCATAAGCTTAGACTTGTTCTAGATGCTCTAGATGCCAGATTTCAGTCAGTACCTTTGAATAAATGTCTTTCTGTAGATGAGCAACTTTGTGCTACTAAAACACGCCATCATTTAAAACAATATCTTCCGGCCAAACCACACAAGTGGGGTTATGAAACTGTATGTGTTTTGCGGAAGTGATGGCTTCTCGTATAATTTTGAAATATAACTGGCAACGAAAATAATTCAAAATTTCGATTAGATACCGAGCTCAAATTAGGTTCTAGTGCCAACATCGTTGTAAGGTTATGCAAAATTGTTCCTTCAAATCAAAACTACAGAGTATATTTTGATAACTTTTACACATCAGTTTACCTGCTTGCTTATTTAGGTAGCAGAGGAACTTACTTGCTGGGTACGGTTCGACGTCCAAGGATTCCGAATTGCAAGTTACCAACTGAGGTAGGGTTAAGAAAAAAAGACAGAGGTACTTCAGAAGAGTTTGTTTGTAATGTTGATGGAGTCGATATATCCTCAGTAACATGATTAGATAACAAACCAGTCAAAAAAAAATACATACAAATTAAGTGTCCCAGCTTGGTTCCAGAATATAATACCCACATAGAAGAGGTGGATGCCATGGACAGCTTTATTGGAAGATACAAAATTAGGCTAAGATCAAAAAAATGGTACATAAGATTTTTTTACCACCTAATTGACATGACGCTTGTCAACACATGGCTGCTTTATAGACGGGCACAGAACGAAACAGAGAAGTTGATGTCTCAGGTTCATGTTCGTCTCGAAATAGCAGAGTGCCTTTGTAAGGCTGAAAATAGCAGTAGAAAGCGAGGCAGGCCTTCCAAGGAATCAGTTGAATCAATGCTGACAGAAAAGAGAAAAAAGTCTACAGTCTTCTCTCATGTACCACCCAAAGACGTTCGAACAGATTCGGTGGATCATTGGCCAATATACGATCAAACAAGACAGAGATGTAAATTTCCCTCGTGTTCTTCATTTTCTCATATTAAATGCTCCAAATGCGGAGTACATCTATGTTTAAACAAAAGCAACAATTGCTTTGTCTCATTTCATAATCAGTAACATGTTTAATATTTTAATGTTTAATGTATCAGATTTGATACGACTATATTTTTGTCAAAATAAACAAAAATTTTGATCCTAATTTTTTAAAATAGTTTTTCCCTACATCCTTGAAGAGAAACAAAAATAAAAAACATTTTTGTTTAATTTTAAAAAAATAATAACAAAATATATATTAATAACAAAATTCAGTTACAAACAAATTATGTAAAAATGAGTACAAAAATTTGAAAAATTAACTATTATTTCCCTTGCCCACAATGGTTGAACCGATTGCGAAATCTGTGAATTTTTATATCTATTTACAAGGTCTCTGTAAATGTGCAAATTAAAAACGGTATATTATTCTAGTTGAACGATTGAAAATTGGCTAAACTAAATGTTATTAAAATTTATTTGAATTTTAATAATTCGTCATTTCTTATGTAGGCACTTCTCATATAAAATGAAAAACATTTGTTTATAGGTTAGGTTTTAGGTTAGATATATATTTGTTATTGAAAACACAGTTTACACGAACAATCTAGGGCAGATGAGGAAACTAAAATAATGTTTTTCATTAAAACGGGTACACCTACTTACTATGATATGGGTGATCCAATTTGGCAGTACTGACCAACATAAGAAGACTAGTCAAAACACTTAAATAACAAACCACTAACCTTGTCATTTTATCTGCAACCTTCAGTTATTCGTAGTATTTATTTGTACCTATAAATAGAATGTGGGAAGTCCAAGTTCTAATCAAGTTTATATTTGAACTTGCATCGCAAACTATGCGTTAATAAATAGGGTAGAGCTGAGCATACAAACTTCTTTACAAATATCTATACAAAGCGCAGCTAAATTATGGAACAAATTAATTATTTTGCAAACAATTTAGGTTTTAGAAAAACCCTAAAATAGGTCGATTTTTAATTTTAAATGTCGATTTTTTAAATAAAACGCGATCATGGTGACGTCACCAGTTTTGACGTGGTGACGTAATATTTATTATTTTAATTCAAATGCGGGTCTTGTAATACCTCATTTGAAAAGACCACACATGTGGCGGTTATAGAGGGTTGAAAAGAATAATCGTTGACTCAACAAAACTCATCTGTGTTTATTTGTAGAAGGATCTGGAATCGACCGTTTAGGTGCCCATACACTCACGATTTTCTAGCGATATATACCGGGTGTCCCAGATTTTTTTGCCCAGCGGATATCTCGGTTATTTAATGATATAAAATTGTAAAAAAAAATATGAATAATATTTGTCTAGTAGCCTTTTAAATTCCACTACATAAAGTTATATTCATCAATCCACCCCATAGGAACAACCCCTAACTTTTTTTTTTCAAATGTCACCCCTATATTTTTTTCGCTGATATAAATACTCAATTTGTCCCGAATGCAACGATATGATATTTGATATACTTTACAGAGTCATAAAGCCGGTAAAGACTAAAAACCAATGTTGTGGTTAAAGTCATTAATTTTGTATCACCTGGTATTTTCTTTTTATTTTGATTAGAATTGCTTCGTTTTTGTTTTTTTTTTGTTACCTATAACTAACTAACGATATGCTTAGACCATTTCTGAAATTGTTCGCTAGCTATAAACATCAGACAAAATGCCCTTTACATTCACTCCAAACGAATATGTTGATATGCTTTTAATTTTTGGTGAGTGCCAAAAAAATTCTCGTGCTGCTGTACACTTGTATCAACAGAGGTTTCCTGAGCGCCGACAACCATCACGTAAAACATATTCTTATGTTGAGACTAGGATGAGAGAAGGGTCATTTCCAGGAAAAGACAAACATCGTCAACATGCTGCTGCTGTAAGAACTGAAGAAATGTGCATTAATGTATTAGCTTATGTGCAAGTACATCCCCAGATATCGACGCGAAACCTAGCTAACGAGGTTCATATTAGTAAGTCGTCAGTACAAAGAATCCTAAAATCCTATAATTTTCATCCGTTTAAAATTCATTTGCATCAGGAACTTAGAGCTGGAGATTTCGAAAGAAGGATAACATTAATAGCACATTTTGAAGATTTAATGGAACGAAATCCCAACATTTTGAACCAGATATTGTGGAGTGACGAATCAAGGTTTCACAATAATGCTACTGTAAATCGTCACAATATGCATTATTGGTCTCCTGAAAACCCTCACTGGGTTAGGGAAACTAACTTTCAGACCATCTGGGGAGTAAATGTGTGGTGTGGATTATTTCAGGGACGACTGATAGGTCCCTATTTTTTTCAAGGTACGTTAACTGGTGCTAGGTACTTACACTTTCTTGAAAATGACCTTCCAGAACTTCTTGAAGAAATTCCAATACAAGAAAGAGGTGCTATGTGGTGGCAACAAGATGGAGCTCCTCCACATAATAGTAATTTAGTTACCCAATTTTTAAACGAACGCTTTGAAAATCAGTGGATCGGAAACAGCGGCCCTTTGAGGTGGCCTGCGCGTTCACCAGATTTATCGCCTCTAGATTTTTTTTTATGGGGATATCTGAAGACCGTGGTATTTGAAACACAGCCATTGAATTTAGAAGATTTGCAAAATAAAATAGTACAAGCCTGCAATAACATTACACCAGAAATGATTACAGCGTCATGTACTCGTGAACTCATTCGACGTTTTAAAGCATGTTTGGCAAGTAATGGGGGCCATTTCGAACAATTTTTGTAAATATTCAATTATTTAAAAAACATATTAAGAGGTTTACCTATTCATTGGATTTGTTATTTTTTAATATAATAAAATGATAAAATGTAAACTAATTATTAATGACTTTAACCACAACATTGGTTTTTAGTCTTTACCGGCTTTATGACTCTGTAAAGTATATCAAAAATCATATCGTTGTATTCGGGACAAATTGAGTATTTATATCAGCGAAAAATAATATAGGGGTGACATTTGAAAAAAAAAGTTAGGGGTTGTTCCTATGGGGTGGATTGATGAATATAACTTTATGTAGTGGAATTTAAAAGGCTACTAGACAAATATTATTCATATTTTTTTTTACAATTTTATATCATTAAATAACCGAGATATCCGCTGGGCAAAAAAATCTGGGACACCCGGTATAGTACTAATGATTATAAGCGACTGCTTGCTAAGCACTATGTACCTCGTACACGATACAGATCCGGATTGAGCATTTATACTAATTAATAATTCAATTATTGCCGCACTATGTTGCCAGTAATGGCATAGTTGGTCAATTATTATTACTTTAAAGTTGAAGGTGGTAGCCATGTGTGAGTTATATGTTATTACTTGTTTACTCCTTGCCCGAGGTATGAAGTCTAGCGCTAGACATACAGAAACAAACGCACCGCTTCGAGAAGCTTCTGGCGTGATCCCTTTGCGGCGTATGAGTCATAGAGAGGCAGTTATCGATCGTTCTGGAAAGTCAAGTGTGTTCTGATACAGAACTGGCTTTATATAAATAACGAGTTTGTCAAGGGACAAAATTATTTAATTTTAGTGTTGAATAGTAAAGACAAATTGTAATAAATAAATTAGAGTTATAATAGTACCTAAGTATTATATAAATTAGTTAGTACGTTATAAATAAATGGTAAATAAAGTATTTTAAGTAAATAAACTATAAATAAATTAAACAAACATTGATGTTAAAAGTGGAACTGTAAATAAATATTGGCTAAAAAAACTGTGCGATTTAAAAGTGGCTGAATTGCGTTAAAAATTAGAATATCTGGAGACGACAGGAAAGAAAGCAGAGCTAACAGAACGGCTTAAAGAAGCAATGCGAAACGAAGATTTGGATATGGAAACGTTTCTATTTTCGTTAGAAAGTCAAATGTCAACTATGAAAACCGATATTTTTTCTAACAATACTTCCTTAGAAACCAAAGTTTCGTCTGATATGTCTTCTATGAAAACTGAAATTACTGCTGTTTCTTCTATAAAAAGTGATATTTTCTCCTTATAAAGTAAAATTTTTTCTGACATTTCTTCCTTACACAATAAAGTTTTTTTCTTAGAGGATACAGTCTCTTCCGATTTCCGATATATCTTCTTTAAAAGATGAAATTTCATCCGACTTGGAAAGCAAAATATCTTCTATGAAAAATAAATTTTCGTCTAATATTTCTTCATTAGAATAAAAGGTATCTTCCGAAATTTATTCTATGAAAGATAAGAGTTCTTCCGTTGAGAATAAAATAATGTTTCCGTAGAGAAGAAAATAAAAGAAATGGAAAAGCAGATAGAAACGGAACATACAGAACAGGCCAAGAACGGTGAAATAAAGTGCCATGAGGCAGCTGTAAACTCTGCTCGTATTAAAGCCCCAACTGTAAAAGGAAATATGTCATGGACCAAATACCTTAAACAGTTCGAAACAGCTGCCAGAGCAAACGAATGGTCTGAACGAGAATGCTTTAGACCTGTGGAAACGACCGATGACTTTGAAAAACTTAAAAAGAGACTAAACATGCGATATGGACACAAACACTTGGAGCAGTTATACCAGCCACAAGTAAAGAATCACAAACAGAAACGAGACAAGACCTTTCTCGAATATAAAGTTGATATTGCCAGGTTGGTTCGATTTGCCTACACATCAGCTCCGGAAAACATGATGGAATGTTTGGCAGTCAAAACATTTGTTGATAGACTCCGTGACCACAAGATGCAGAAAACACTTTACTTAGCTCGTCACAAAACATTGGTCAATGTCTTGTCCGCTGCTCTAGAGAATAAGGTGGCTACGCAGGTTTCTAGAGGATTCAGTAAAGTGAGGACGGTAAAAAAAGAAAACGTGGAAAATGAACTCGACCAACTATTTAACATAATGAAGAGTTTTACTGATAAAAAGATAAAGACGAAGACTATCAGGTGCTGGAATTGCAGTGAACTGGGCCATGTACACAGTTTGTGCAAACGCCCTAGGGTTTCAACAACTGAAGACAACACGCCGCAGAAAAACTAAAGCAGGTCGGCCTAGAGGGGGCAGCTTCGACCCGAAACCGTTTCAAAGACCCTGTCATACGGATAGCCTTTTTAAAATGTTCCGATGATAGTGTATACATTATTCAGCAGTCAGATTGAGTGTGTTTTCCATGTCAATTTTTTAAATGACATACTTTAAAATACCAGTGATGGTTTAGAAGTTTTTTATCCTACCAAAAAAAAAAATGTATAAAACGCTACTTTTTAGATCTATAAAGAAAATATTTATATCATGTCTTATAAACACTTAAAGCTTTTAGATTATTACTTACTCCAGTTGTTTATTGTTTTTTTTTTTTTTCATACAAAATTATTCAAAAAATAATACTTTCAAATACCATCTTGAAATTTTGCTTATTTTATACTCAGACGTCTTTATTTCAAAATAAAACACTCAAACAAACCGATTAAGGTAAAATTACTGGTGCTACGTACGTTTACATAGAAACCAAATAATATGTAATGAATAAAATTTGGAGGACTCTTAGTATTACCTTTGAAAGAGCAAATTATATAATATTCAATGGCATTTAAATAGTATAGTCATCTAAAATGGGATATTTAGGTCGGTAACTAAAATTATTTACAAATTTATACCATAAAAAAGCATTCTTCAGTTTCGTCAATTGAACATGAACTGCTCTTCTTTAGTTGAAAGTTCTTTGCAGTAGTACGGTGTTTAAAAAACTCAATTAAATTATTTTAAAATTGTTTAATATTTAATCCTAGAAATTAAGAGACAAAACATGTTAGGAATCGAATAGAATAGTTATTTATGACAATATATGCTCGATTCTATTCAACACAAAAAATAAAAATATTACAAGTAGAATTTAGGTAACTAATTTGGCCTCTATTTTTTTACATCAATTATTTTTACTTTTGTATGGCGTATACAAATTTTTAAGGAAATATTTTATGGATTATATTCCTTATGTACAGATGAATGATTTTCTATTATGTAATTTTTTTTTATTTCTGTAGTAATTGTTTAATTAGCTCTGTGATCTTATTATTAAAATAATTCTGGAAATTATTAACATACCCTGTTATATATGGCAATATGATTTGAATGACGCCATTTTGAAAATATTGAGAAATAGAATTAAAAACAATATTTTTTAAATACTAACTTTTATTTCAGTGCTAGTTAACAATAGATTTTAACAAGAATATTTAACAATATTTACATATATTACGTATCAAAATAATTGTTGATAAAAAAGAGAAAATAACATGAAATTATGGTAAACAATATGGTGCTTCTTCTAGTCTTTTCTGCATTATTTTACACAACTGTTTATCCTTCATTTGGTCTTCTGGACAGTGAATTATAAACCGTTTATTAAGACCAATTTGACTGAATTCTCCATCTGATTTACATCCTCCTATTGAAACGGAGTTAGCAGCAGTGAACGCTAAAACACCTTCGATAATTTTGCTTTGAAAGTCTTCAGAAAATCCAACTAGAGACAACTTTTCTGTCATGTATGTTTTGTATCGATCAGGTATGATGCGTCCTTTAATGTCAATCTATAAAATAGAAGAAAAAAATATATATTTTATACCAGGCGAGTCACAAGGATTTTTACAATTTTTGACAGTATATTAGAGTCTATTAAGAGGTATGTCAAAAAAAGTGTTAATTAAATTCTTTCATTATTTTAATATAACTGTCTAGAAATTTATAAATTCCTGGACCGGATTTAAAAACACAGGTAAGGCAGTGTATAAATAAAGTTCATCCTGTAATATACGGCGAACGGCAATAAAACTGTATATCTAACATTTTTGTCGCACTTTCAAAGTATTTTTTATAAAGACTCTACTTTGGCTAAAACTGAAAAATAAGTACATTATTTTCCAGCCAATACTTACATATCCAAGTTTTTGACCAATGCACTGGTAAATACACTGCAAATAAAAAATAAAAATTAATTGAAAAACAGTGAGCAATACTATATAGCACAATTAAGACAAGAAATTGCGAAGATTTCGCACAAACACTTAATTTCAAACAAATTGATTTTTTTGGCTCAAGTTTTGTGTTCTTTTCTGACTCTACTAAATAGTTTAGTTATCTGGTACCTGGAAAGTTTTCCGGGCATTTTGAAAATGAGTAATTTTATAGATTTCGATGTGCTCTTTCCGAAGTTCAACTTTGCCACCTCGTATATTTGCCGTTAATTCTCTTTTTACTCATGGCCGGTAGTTATGTAAGAAAAGAAGCCAAAAACTAACACTATCTACACTTAATAAATAAAATTATCTTTTATTTCGATTCAAGGCCTGTTGCGGCATTAGCCGTGATTTTTAAATATAAATATATCTTTAAAAAATCGAAAAATTTGCTGCTTTCGACAGATTGCTCGTGCTTCGTTACACATCGCCCAAAAAACTTTCTGTCTCAAGCTGCAAATTTCCACTCTCAAATTTCAAAAATTTGTCTATAAGCCTACCATTAATATTTAATAACAATTAGCTTACCAAAACTTTATTTCTCTTAAAATCGCGATAATTACATTGACATTTGTCGATGCTAGTAGAATGTAGGAAACAATCTTTAATAATTTTTGAATTTTCCATCCCATAATTTAGGAAATATTCTGATCCACAACATGGTTCAAATTTTATTTCTTTTTTCAGACATTCTTCAACAAGTTGTGTTTGGTTGGCTAATGAACCATCTTCTTTTTGATCTGAAAATAATAAAAAATATCTTTATTTAAAAAAAATAGATTCTTGAAGGCACAGGAATTAATCAGAGCAAGCCAAAACATAGTGTTCCAAAGACACCCTAAATACTGGAAATACCTAATGGCAAGAGTTTCGGGCAGCAGTCTTTCCTTTGTCCTCTATCGACTCTAAATCAAAATTTAAGTGACAGTTTTATTTTTTTTTTTAATTTTATCATGTAAGTGCTGCCCTCATATAAATCTTTCAATAAAAGCTATTCTACTTGAATTTTTATGTTATTATTCATATTTTACTACTAATAATGCCAATTATTACAGGTTCATATTTATTTAACACTTCTACATAAAAAAAAAACCGACACATTTCAGGCAATTAATAAAATACACGCCCCACAATACAAATCTGCACAAATTCGGTATTTTTTAAAAAATCGTTTAAAAATGTTTTTTTAATGCGAATTAGGCAGAAAACTATAGCCAACAATATGGCCTATTTTAAGTTTTTAAACAAGCAAAAATGACTGCTCTACGATGTATTTTCCAATCGTAATATTAAAAAAAAATCCCATATGGATCAAACTTTATGGCACACACTATATAACAAATTTTGATGCTACTTTTATTTTTTTTTTGTATGAAAAAAGTAAGGAGTGGTCCACAAAAATTTTTTCTAAAGTAGGTCTTAGAAAAATTCACGTATGTAGAGGGTACAATTCTTCTTCTTTTTAGTGTCAGTTTGGATTTATTTCTGAACCTCCCTCAGTTATCACGTACATGACTCGTATTTCTGTCTTTGTCAGTCATGGCCTACTTTAGAAACAATTTTTTTTATCACATTAAAATTTTGTTTCATACATTTATTTGGCCTTTACCTATTAGGGTATTTAGCCTCAATTTTTAAATGTCATGCTATTTTGGGCTATTTTCGTTGCTATTGTTGGCGACATTGGACAATCAGTCTTTGTCGCAAAATATCTTGATATTGAAGGATTGAAATTTAACATTGCTCCTTTATTATTTTTGCATAATCCGCAAATTGATAGGTAAATTCGTGTGTTAAGTCATATCGACCCGCTTTTTCATGTTTGCATCTTTTTACGTTCCTTTTACTTCGACCTCGACGTTCAATTTGTAACATAAAAGCCGTCAATTATTTATAAACTAGTTAGAGTGTACTTACTGCGATAGGAATGATCTAATTTAGCAGCACCGACCACCAGAAAAGTAGTCGAAACACATAAACACCAGGCCACTAACTTATTCATGACATTGACCTTTAATAACCCAACACAGTGCATATGTAACTAAAAACTAAACAACTAAACCTGGTAAAGATTTGTTTATTGTAATTATTTGTAAAATTATGAAAAACCCAAAAACAAATGGTACGGATAACGTAGGGTAGAGCAGGGTATTCAAAACTCTTGTCTTGATGTTTATTATTAGAACTAGGTATGTGTGTACCAGTGGCGGCGATAAGGCCTCCGTAAGCCCCGGCCGAGTGAAGGATCCACAAAGCCGTATTTAGGGTGCGGGTTTTAGGGGTTAAAACCTTTATCGATATTATTTATCAAATAATTAAGTTCAGGAAATCCGACTGCAAAAGTAAAGAACAATCTTTGAAATAAAAAAAAAACAATACACTTGAAATTGTTTAAATAAAAATTAAAAGAAATATTGAAGGGTGGGTGGCTCAGTGGTCGTCTTTCTCTGCCTGTGGATCCAAGGGTCCCAGGTTCGAATCCCACCGTTGGTCTGGATTTTTTTATTTAATTTAAATATTTAAAATTAATTCTGATGCCTTGTCCATTCACTGTTTGGTTCTAATTAACACTGCTGTTCCTAAAGTGGCGCTGGGAAACAGTTACAACGACTACACAGAACACGAGGCTAATGGTCTTAGTAGTCGATGCCGATAACATCAAATAAAAAAAGGATATCTCGAATTAAATCTCAAATTAATAAATCCAAAAAAAAATGCGAAAAAAAAAAATAAAAAAAACTGCAAGCGTACCTATAGATATGTAGCGTAGATAAATTTTCACATAGTGCAAGGCGATTTTAGTCAGTACTTTAATTTTTTTCTACGGACATGCAAGAAACAAAACTTTATTGAACTATATTTAGTGAAAAAACTGGTTCTTTATTGCACTCATCTGTCATTTTACTACAGCATTTTACGATTATGACAAACATAAATATTCAAATCGACGCCAAATATTTAGTCCATTTTTATTTTCTGTGAGATTGTATTACGTTTTAAAAAATATTAATATTGAAAATTGTACAAATTGTACTTTTACTTTTAATATTAGTGGCAAAAACAACGTTTAAGCTTAATTATTGTTCATAACACAGTTGTTCCTAAAATTTTGGTTAAATTATTTTTCTTAACATAGTTATAGTACTTTTTCAATGTTAATCGATGCTAAGTATTAGTTATTAAATATTTTGCTATTAAAATACGCTTTTTATTCTTCTGCACTTAGTGTCGCCTAAATAAAACATTTTTTGGTTTTTGCATGAACGTAGAAAAAATATTGTATGCAACTCGTGCAAAAAGTGTTTATTGAACTCGACGTGTTGTCCAAATCGGCCTGACGGCCTCGTTTCATATTCGATATGCCTTCAATTTTTAATTTTATGTTAGTTTTTTCAGTGTGGCTTTATGTTCTACGTATTTTATTTATTTTGTTGCAACTGTTTATGTTGTTCCCTGTCCCTTACTTTTGTCTGTTACCTGAACTTTAGGTTCTTTTGTAGTTTAATGCATTGGCTATTCATTTTTTTAATGTTTTAACCCCACCATAAATCTAGTCTAAATACGGCCCAAGTCCGCCTGGTTGACGTATGTATAAAATTATATAAAAAACACGATTAAATTGTGTTTTTTATTTATTGTTAAAAATTCTGTCATATCATACAAAATCTCTCTAATTTATCACCTAGGAACGCGACCGTAAAACGTTACATGTTACATGTTCCAAACCTCCACTGCTTGAATTGGGCAACCGGGGATTACCCGTCCAAGATGCGAGGATTCCCCGTGATCGCCTGACTTTTTAAAAAAGAAAATAGCTTTGTCCCAACATCTCACAAAACCGTAATATTACGGTCATCGTCATGCGCAGTAAATAAAAACCGTTCGACTTTGGGCTTTATTGAGAGGTTTTTATTTACTGCGCATGACGATGACCGTAATATTACGGTTTTGTGAGATGTTGGGACAAAGCTAACGTCTTGTTGCGGTATGCGCTGTTCCTTTACAAGTGTGTGGTTATTTCAGCGGAAATAATAAACTGTTATATAATGAAATGAGTTTGTGTGGAGTTCTTTCTGAGGTTAAAATTAAAATCAATTTCGCGGTTCGCGATGTCAGGAAAAGGGAGACGCTATCGTAGTGAAGCAGAGGAAAGGAAAATTCAGCAAGAAAAATTAGAAGCTGTTAACAAGTTACCAAAAATAAGTATTTTTTTTTTAAAAGCCTTGTGAGTCGTCGACAACTACGGAACAACAACAACAGGTTAGTAAAAGCACAGATCATGTGGGAGGGAGCAATATTTCTCTTGTTGAAATTGGGGGTGTAATCTCAATTCACCCTGAAAATGTAGAACAAAGTGACCGTGATAGTACTGCGAAAAGTGTCAAAAGTAAAAACGAAACCGATTCGGAAGATTCTGAAAATGAAGAAGATTTAAGCACATCGGAAAATACTAGGAAGGCACTAGCTATTCATTTAATACCGACAGGGCTTTATTTCTTGAACAGATGTCTGATGAAGAAAAAAAGAAATTTCTTATTTCCGGTCCAAACAGGCCAACAGATCCATTCCCTAAAGATGGATCGTACAAAAAAAAAACATTTTTCTACGATCGTGCAAAAAGTGACTATTTTTTACTCTATATACTGTGCCAAAAGTTTAATTTTTTGCACTAGTGCAAAAAGTAGCTTACTTTTGTGCATTAGTGCAAAAAAGTAACTTATCTTTTGCACTAGTGCAAAAAACACTTCGAATTGTCAGTCAATTTTTTGGAAAAAAATAAAAAAAGAACACAGCGCCGGGAATCGAACCCGAACTTCTCCGGGGGGTGGTAAACATCTTAGCCGTTAGGCCATCATGGGTTTTAAAGAAACGTTTCGTAAACCAAAATATATACAGTCACTTTATTACTGGAATTTGTGATTAAATTTCAAAAAGTTGAAATATATATTTTATCTACCCTTTTGTTAATACCAAATTCGCTTGTTAGATAGGAATGAAATAAAATACAGAATTGAAAGATTTTTTACTCTAATTTTAATTAATGCAAATATTTCTTAATTTTCATAGTTACCTATGAATTATTTTGTAAATACCTACCCTGAATGTCAGAATATTTTCGTGTTACATCCAGTTACATCTGCGTATTTGTCTCTGTGTGTGTCAAATTAATAGTTTAAACATTTATTAAGTTGTAAAGTTATTAAAAATGTTCAGTTCGGATAGTGAGGAAGAAACTATCAGTTTCTGTACTCCTCCAGATTTAGTGGAAAGAGCTAATGAAGCAACGGCAGATTTACTACCCAATAAATCAAAAAAAATTTATAAAGTATGTTATAAACGGTTTACAGAATGGTGTGAGACTAAATCTGTTGGAAATATTACAGAAAACGTAGTACTTGCATATTTAAAAGAAAAGTCGGAAATACTGAAGCCATCGACTTTGTGGTCAGAGTACTCAATGCTAAAGGCTACACTTTTAATAAACAATAATGTGGCAATTCGAAATTTTCAAAAATTAATTCCTTTTTTAAAGAAGAAGTCGGTAGGGTATCGCCCCAAAGTTTTTTCAAGAGAGCAACTTGATAAGTTTTTAGTTGAAGCTCCTGACAGTAAATATTTAATGATAAAGGTAAAATATAAAAATAATCTTTTTTTAACTTTATACGTAGGTATTTGTTTCTTTTAGATAGTTGCAGTATTTGGGATTGCAGGAGCATGCCGCAGGGATGAGTTACAGAAACTTACTTTAAATGATATAAATAACATGAATTCTATCATAACAGTAAACATTCCCGACATCAAGACCAACAAACCTCGATCATTTGTAATAAGCGGACAAATTAGATCCTTTAATTTTGTGGAAATGTATCGCAAATATGCATCCCTCCGTCCCCAATCAACAAGCCACAATAGATTTTTTATTAGATACTATGACGGAAAATGTTCCGTTAAACCTGTTGGTGTAAACACTTTTGGCAAAATCCCAAGTGATATTGCCAAAGATTTAAATATTGAAAACCCAATGGAATACACGGGACACTGCTTTCGCAGATCTTCTGCAACCTTACTAGTAGAATCCGGCGCAGATATATTTGAAACGGCACGGAGGGTGGAAATCCTCAACTGTAGCTGAGGGCTATATTGAGGAGTCTATTTCTAAAAAAACAGAAATAGCTGCTCAAATTCTTGAAGGTCAACCAAGCTTAGTAAAAAAATTAAAACTCATGAAAGTTGTGTGATGTATCTTCGAGCATGTACAGTACAACATACGCAATATGGGAGAAAAGTAAAACAGTTGATTATTTGTTTACTGGACCTCATGAAACCCTGGTTTTCCTTATATTTTAAGTACTACTTTGGATCGACTATTTAGGATTATATGCTCATGAGCAACCCTAATAGGTCATCAATGGGCTTTTCCTATTTATTCCTTTTAGATAGATATTCGAATCATATGATGGTGAACTTTATTTAATTAATTATAAATATTTCAATATTATTAGTTAAATTTAAATTGTGTATTATAAATAAAAAAAAAAAAACTAAATAAACGATTTGAATGACGCCATTTTGAAAACATTGAGAAATAGAATTTAAAACAATATTTTTTAAGTACTAACTTTTATTATTTCAGTGCTGTTGTTAGTAGGTACTAGTTAACAATAATTTTTAACAAGAATATTTAACAATATATAACAGTATAAAAATAATTGTTGATAAAAAAGAAAATTCTTAAATAACATGAGATTATGGTAAACAACGTGGTGCTTCTTCCAGTCTTTTCTTCATTATTTTACACAACTGTTTATCCTTCATTTGGTCTTCTGGACAGTAAGTTATAAACCGTTTATTAAGACCAAGTTGACTGATTACTCCATCTGATTTACATCCTCCCATTGAAAAGGCGTTAGCAGTGAACTCTAAAATACTTTCGATAATTTTGTTTTGAAAGTCTTCAGAATATCCAACTAGAGACAACTTTTCTGTCATGTATTTTTTGTATTGATCAGGTATGATATTTCCTTTAATGTCAAT